TTGGTGAATGCCAGATATCCTAGCCACTTGACCATGCCACAGATGGCGCCCAAGGGAATGAGCGCTAGTACTGGTGTCTGTTCGTGGACAGTTTCGTCGTTGCCAGCTTTGCTGCATTAGCAAAAATAAAAAGCAAGGTCTCACCGAGATTTGAACTCAGATTGCTGGATTCAAAGTCCAGAGTGCTAACCATTCACCATGAGACCGCACTTTTCGACGCCGAGAATCGAACACGGGCCTTCTTTGTGAAAAGCCAGATATCCTAGCCACTAGACCACGCCGGAGATGGCTCAAGGCCGCGAGCATCGGTACCGTGGTCTATTCGCTGATAGTTTCGTCGTTGCCAGCTTTTGCTGCATTAGCAAAAATAAAAAGCAATGTCTCACCGAGATTTGAACTCGGATTGAAGGATTCAGAGTCCAGAGTGCTAACCATTTCACCACGAGACCGCACTTTCCGACGCCGGGAATCGAACCCAGGCCTTCTGGGTGAAAGCCAGATATCCTAGCCACTAGACCACGCCGGAGATGGTGACAAGAGAACGAGCGCTTGTACCGGTGTCTATTCGCGAACAGTTTCGTCGTTGCGAGCTTTTGCTGCATTAGGAAAAATAAAAAGCAAGGTCTCACCGAGATTTCAACTCAGATTGCTGGATTCAGAGTGCAGAGTGCTAACCATTGCACCATTAGACCACACTTTCCGACGCTTGGAATCGAACCCGGGCCTTTTGGGTGAAAGCCAGATATCCTAGCCACTAGACCACGCTGGAGATGACGACAAGAGAACGACCGCTGGTACCGGTGTCTATTCGTGGACAGTTTCGTCGTTGCCAGCTTCTTTGTGAAGCCAGATATCCTAGCCACTAGACCACGCTGAAGATGGCACAAGGCAGCGAGCAAAGGTACCGCGGTCTCTTCGTTGACAGTCTCGTCGTTGCCAGCTTTTGCTGCATTAGCAAAAATAAATAAGCAAGGTCTCACCGAGAATTGAACTCAGATCACTGGATTCAGAGTCCAGAGTGCTAACCGTTACACCATGAGACCGCACTTTCCGACGCCGGGAATTGAACCCGGGCCATCTGGGTGAAAGCCAGATATCCTAGCCACTAGACCACGCCGGAGATGACGACAAGAGAACCACCGCTGGTACCGGTGTCTATTCGTGGACAGTTTCGTCGTTGCCAGCTTTTGCTGCATTAGCAAAAATAAAAAGCAAGGTCTCACCGAGATTTGAACTCGGTTACCTAGATTCATAGTCCAGAGTGCTAGTTGTTTCACCATGAGACCGCACTCTCCAACACCGGGAATGAAACTAGGCCTTCTTGGTGAAAGCCAGATATCCTAGCCCCTAGACCATGCCACAGATGGCGCCAAGGGAATGAGCGCTAGTACTGGTGTCTGTTCGTGGACAGTTTCGTCGTTGCCAGCTTTGCTGCATTAGCAAAAATAAAAAGCAAGGTCTCACCGAGATTTGAACTCAGATTGCTGGATTCAAAGTCCAGAGTGCTAACCATTCACCATGAGACCGCACTTTTCGACGCCGAGAATCGAACACGGGCCTTCTTTGTGAAAGCCAGATATCCTAGCCACTAGACCACGCCGGAGATGGCTCAAGGCCGCGAGCATCGGTACCGCGGTCTATTCGCTGACAGTTTCGTCGTTGCCAGCTTTTGCTGCATTAGCAAAAATAAAAAGCAATGTCTCACCGAGATTTGAACTCGGATTGCATGATTCAGAGTCCAGAGTGCTACAAGTTTCACCATGAGACCGCACTTCCGACGCCGGGAATCGAACCGGGCCTTCTGGGTGAAAGCCAGATATCCTAGCCACTAGACCACGCCGAGATGTGAACAAGGAAGCGAGCGCTTGTACCGGTGTCTATTCGCGGAACAGTTCGTCGTTGCGAGCTTTTGCTGCATTAGCAAAAAAAAAGCAAGGTCTCACCGAGATTTCAACTCAGATGCTGGATTCAGAGTGCAGAGTGCTAACCAGTTCACCAATAGACCACACTTTCCAACACCGGGAATGGAACCCGGGCCTTCTTGGTGAAAGCCAGATATCCTAGCCACTAGACCACGCCAGAGATTGACGACATGGAAGGAGTTCTGGTTCCGGTAATTTTCGCGGGGACAGTTTCGTCGTTGCCAGCTTTTGCTGCATTAGGAAAATAAAAAGCAAGGTCTCACGAGATTTGAACTTGGATCGCTGTATTTCAAGTCCAGAGTGCTACCGTTACACCATGAGACCGCACTTCCACGATTGGGAATTAACCCGGGCCTTCTTGGTGAAAGCCAGATATCCTAGCCACTAGACCATGCCAGAGATGGCGCCAAGGGAATGAGCGCTAGTACCGGTGTCTGTTCGCGGACAGTTTCGTCGTTGCCAGCTTTGCTGCATTAGCAGAAATAAAAAGCAAGGTCTCACCGAGATTTGAACTCAGATCGCTGGATTCAAAGTCCAGAGTGCTAACCATTACACCATGAGACCGCACTTTCCGACGCCGAGAATCAAACCCGGGCCTTCTTTGTGAAAGCCAGATATCCTAGCCACTAGACCATGCCGGAGATGACGGCAAGAGAACGAGCGCTAATACTGGTGTCTATTCGTGGACAGTTTCGTCGTTGCCAGCTTTCGCTGCAATAGCAAAAGTAAAAAGCAAGGTGTCACGGAGATTTGAACTTGGATCGCTGGATTCAAAGTCCAGAGTGCTAACCATTACACCATGAGACCACACTTTCCGACGCCGGGAATCGAAGCCGGACCTTCTTAGTGAAAGCCAGATATCCTAGCCACTAGACCACGCCGGAGATGGCGACAAGCGACCGAGCACGTGTACCGGTGTCTATTCGCGGACAGTTTCGTCATTGCCAGCCTTTGCTGCATTATCAAAAATAAAAGGCAAGGTCTAACCGAGATTTGAACCCGGATCGCTGGATTCAGTGTCCAGAGTGCTAACCGTTACACCATGAGACCGCACTTTTCGACGCCGGGAATCGAACCCGGCCTTTCTGGGTGAAAGCCAAATATCCTAGCCACTAGACCACGCCGGAGATGGCGACAAGAGAACGAGCGCTAGTACTGGAGTCTATTCGCGGACAGTTTCGCCGTGGCCAATTTTGTTGCATTAGCAAAAATAAAAAGCAAGGACTCACCGAGATTTGAACTCGGTTCCCTAGATTCAGAGTCCAGGGTGCTAGCTGTCACACCATGAGACCGCACTTTCCAACACCGGGAATGGAACCCGGGCCTTCTTGGTGAAAGCCAGATATCCTAGCCACCAGACCATGCCAGAGATGGCGACATGGGAATGAGCGCTAGTACCGGTGCCTGTTTGCGGACAGTTTCGTCGTTGCCAGCTTTGCTGCATTAGCAAAAATAAAAACAAGGTCTCACAGAGATTTCAACTCAGATCGCTGGATTCAAAGTCTAGAGTGCTAACCATTACACCATGAGACCGCACTTTCCGACGCCGAGAATCGAACCAGGGCCTTCTTTGTGAAAGCCAGATATCCTAGCCACTAGACCACGCCGGAGATGGCTCAAGGCAGCGAGCATCGGTACCGCGGTCTATTCGCTGACAGTTTTGTCGTTGCCAGCTTTTGCTGCATTAGCAAAAGTAAAAAGCAAGGTGTCACCGAGATTTGAACTTGGATCGCTGGATTCAAAGTCCAGAGTGCTAACCATTACACCGTGAGACCGCACTTTCCGACGCCGGGAATCGAACCCGGGCCTTCTGGGTGAAAGCCAAATATCCTAGCCACTAGACCACGCCGGAGATGGCGACAAGAGAACGAGCGCTAGTACTGGAGTCTATTCGCGGACAGTTTCGCCGTTGCCAGCTTTTGTTGCACTAGCAAAAATAAAAAGCAAGGTCTCACCGAGATTTGAACTCGGATCGCTAGATTCAGATCCCAGAGTGCTAACCGTTACACCATGAGACCGAACTTTTTGACGCCGGGAATCGAACCGGGGCCTTCTGGGTGAAAGCCAGCTATTCTAGCCACTAGACCACGCCGGTGATGACGGCAAGAGAACAAGCGCTGGTACCGGTGTCTAAACGTGGACAGTTTAGTCGTTGCCAGCTTTCGCTGCATTAGCGAAAATAAAAAGCAAGGTCTCACCGAGATTTGAACTAAAATCGCTGGATGCAGAGTGCTAACCATAACACCAATAGACCACACTTTCCGACGCCGGGAATCGAACCCGGGCCGTCTGGGTGAAAGCCAGAACTCTAGCCACTAGAACCACGCCGGAGATGCGACAAGAAAACGAGAGCGCTGGTACCGATGTCTATTCGCGGACAGCGTCGTCGTTGCGAGCTTTTGCTGCTTTAGCAAAAATAAAAAAGCAAGGTCTCACCAAGATTTGAACTCGGATCGCTGGTTTGAGAGTCCAGAGTGCTAACCACAACACCATGAGACCGCACATTCCGACGCCGGGAATCGAACCCTGGTCTTCTTGGTGAAAGCCAGATATCCTAGCCACTAGACTACGCTGAAGATGGCGACAAGAGAACGAGCACTAGTACCGGTGTCTATTGGCGCACAGTTTTGCCGTTGCGAGCTTTTGTTGCATTAGCACTCGATTTCCTGGATTCAGAGTCCAGAGTGCTAGCTGTTACACCATGAGACCGCACTTTCCGACGCGGGGAATGAAACTCGGCCTTCTTGGTGAAAGCCAGATATCCTAGCCACTAGACAATTCAAGATGGCGCCAAGGGAATGAGCGCTAGCACCGGTGTCTGTTCGCGGACAGTTTCGTCATTGCCAGCTTTGCTGCATTAGCAAAAATGAAAAGCAAGGTCTCACCGAGATTTGAACTCAGATCACTGGATTCAAAGTCCAGAGTGCTAACCGTTACAATATGAGACCGCACTTTCTGACGCCGGGAATGAAACCCGGGCCTTTTTGGTGAAAGAAAACGAGCGCTGGTACCGATGTCTATTCGCGGACAGCGTCGTCGTTGCCAGCTTTTGCTGCATTAGCAAAAATAAAAAAAGCAAGGTCTCACCAAGATTTGAACTTGGATCGCTGGATTCAAAGTCCAGAGTGCTAACCATTACACCATGAGACCGCACTTTCCGACGCCGGGAATCGAACCCGGGCCTTCTGGGTGAAAGCCAGATATCCTAGCCACTAGACCACGCCAGAGATGGCGGCATGGAAATGAGTGCTGGTACCGGTGTGTTTTCGCGGACAGTTTCGTCTTTGCCACCTTTTGCTGCATTAGGAAAAATAAAAAGCAAGGTCTCACCGAGATTTGAACTCGGATCGCTGGATTCAGAGTCCAGAGTGCAAACCGTTACACCATGAGACCGCACTTTTCAACACCGGAATGAAACCCGGGCCTTCTTGGTGAAAGCCAGATATCCTAGCCACTAGACCACGCTGGAGATGGTGACAAGAGAACAAGCGCTAGTACTGGTGTCTATTCGCGCACAGTTTCGCCGTTGCCAGCTTTTGTTGCATTAGCAAAAATAAAAAGCAAGGTCTCACCGAGATTTGAACTCGGTTCTCTGGATTCAGAGTCCAGAGTGCTATTTGTTACACCAGTAGACCGCACTTTCCAACACCGCGAATGAAACCCGGGCCTTCTTGGTGAAAGCCAGATATCCTAGCCACTAGAGCATGCCGGAGATGGCGACAAGAAAACTAGCGCTGGTACCGATGTGTATTCGCGGACAGCGTCGTCGTTGTGCCAGCTTTTGCTGCATTAGCAAAAATAAAAAAAGCAAGGTCTCACCAGATTTGAACTCGATCGCTGGATTCAAAGTCCAGAGTGCTAACCATTACACCTGAGACCGCACTTTCCGACTCCAGGAATCGAACCCGGGCCTTCTGTGTGAAAGCCAAATATCCTAGCCACTAGACCACGCCGGAGATGGCGACAAGATAACGAGCGCTAGTACTGAGTCTATTCGCGGACAGTTTCGCCGTTGCCAGCTTTGTTGCACGTAGCAAAAATAAAAGCAAGGTCTCACCGAGATTTAACTCGGATCGCTAAATTCAGATTCCAGAGTGCTAACCGTTACACCTTGAGACCGCACTTTTTGACGCCGGGAATCGAACCGGGGCCTTCTGGGTGAAAGCCAGCTATTCTAGCCACTAGACCACGCCGGTGATGACGGCAAGAGAACAAGCGCTGGTACCGGTGTCTAAACGTGGACAGTTTAGTCGTTGCCAGCTTTCGCTGCATTAGCGAAAATAAAAAGCAAGGTCTCACCGAGATTTGAAGTAAGATCGCTGGATGCAGAGTGCTAACCATTACACCAATAGACCACACTTTCCGATGCCGGGAATCGAACCCGGGCCTTCTGGGTGAAAGCCAGATACTCTAGCTACTAGACCACGCCGGAGATGGCGACAAGAAAACAAGCGCTAGTAGTGGTGTCTATTCGCGGACAGCGTCGTCGTTGCGAGCTTTTGCTGCATTAGCAAAAATAAAAAAGCAAGGTCTCACCAAGATTTGAACTGGGATCGCTGGATTCAGAGTCCAGAGTGCTAACCATTACACCATGAGACCGCACATTCCGACGCCGGGAATCGAACCCTGGTCTTCTTGGTGAAAGCCAGATATCCTAGCCACTAGACTACGCTGAAGATGGCGACAAGAGAACGAGCACTAGTACCGGTGTCTATTGGCGCACAGTTTTGCCGTTGCGAGCTTTTGTTGCATTAGCACTCGATTCCCTGGATTCAGAGTCCAGAGTGCTAGCTGTTACACCATGAGACCGCACTTTCCAACACCGGGAATGAAACTCGGGCCTTCTTGGTGAAAGCCAGATATCCTAGCCACTAGACAATGCAAGATGGCGCCAAGGGAATGAGCGCTAGCACTGGTGTCTGTTCGCGGACAGTTTCGTTATTGCCAGCTTTGCTGCATTAGCAAAAATGAAAAGCAAGTTCTCACCGAGATTTGAACTCAGATCGCTGGATTCAAAGTCCAGAGTGCTAACCGTTACAATATGAGACCGCACTTTCTGACGCCGGGAATCGATACAGGGCCTTCTGGGTGAAAGCCAAATATCCTAGCCACTAGACCACGCCGGAGATAGCGACAAGAGAAGGAGCGCTAGTACTGGAGTCTATTCGCGGACAGTTCCGCCGTTGCCAGCTTTTGTTGCATTAACAAAAATAAAAAGCAAGGTCTCACCGAGATTCGAACTCTGTTCCCTAGATTCAGAGTCCAGAGTGCTAGCTGCTACACCATGAGACCACACTTTCCAACACCGGGAATGAAACCCGGGCCTTTTTGGTGAAAGCCAGATATCCTAGCCACTAGACAATGCAAGATGGCGCCAAGGGAATGAGCGCTAGCACCGGTGTCTGTCGCGGACAGTTTCGTCATTGCCAGCTTTGCTGCATTAGCAAAAATGAAAAGCAAGGCTCACCGAGATTTGAACTCAGATCAAGGATTCAAAGTCCAGAGTGCTAACCGTTACAATATGAGACCGCACTTTCTGACGCCGGGAATCGATCCAGGGCTTCTGGGTGAAAGCCAAATATCCTAGCCACTAGACCACGCCGGAGATAGCGACAAGAGAAGGAGCGCTAGTATGGAGTCTATTCGCGGACAGTTTCGTCGTTGCCAGCTTTGTTGCATTAACCAAAAAATAAAAAGAAGGTCTCACCGAGATTCGAACTCAGTTCCTAGATTCAGGTCCAGATGCTAGCTGTACACCATGAACCGCACTTTCCAACACCGCGAATGAAACCCGGGCCTTTTGTGTGAAAGCCAGATATCCTCCACTAGACCATGCGGAGAGGGCGACAAGGAAAACGAGCGCTGGTAACGATGTCTATTCGCGGACAGCGTCGTCGTTTCCAGCTTTTGCTGCATTAGCAAAAATAAAAAGCAAGGTCTCACCAAGATTT